TGTGATTCTGATAAATCCTATAATTATGAGGGTGATGATATGAAATACACGTCGCAAACTGAGGAATTAACCCAAAGGATTTTGTCTAATTTGCCGAGTTAATTCCGTTGATCAGCGGATGGCGACTAGTATCGATTTTGGCGTGATTGAACGTAAATTCTAACTTTACCCTACTCTGCCAGAGATCGAACCAAGTGAGAGCTTCAGCATTGTGATTTCAATCAATTCTGCCATCGTATTATGTATATACACTTACACGTCTGTTACGGAATTGAGAACTTTTCACATTTTATTCTCTGCTGGGTCTTTACTCATCTTATTCATTAATCAACAGAACTCAATAATCTTGTGCCACAGGAGGAAAATTTTTGAGGTAGAAAATCTATTCAGTCATCTTTCGTTTTTTCGCTTCAACTTTCGCTTTTTTTCTTTTTCGACAGTCGCCTCTTGTGACAGTGGATTTTCTCCGCGTGAGCGGTGGGAACTGTTATCTGAAGACGACGACTGCGTTGAAACTTTAGGCAATTTAAACGAATAAACTGTTTCACCTAAAGACCTCGTGTGACACAAGATCATGATTGTCACAAACAACGGCTGTGCCGAGGTTAAAGCAAGAGGGGGGAAATTAGACAGTAGCTTAAGTGTGCCACGCCTTACTATGACAAAATGGAATGCTCGACGAGGTTTTGGAAGGGACTACAACAAAAGAAACCCCGTCGGAACTAGAAATCGTATCCAAGTAGTAGTACTCGAGACGGGAGTGCGGCGGTATCAGAGCATCGCATCTAGAACTAGATAAATGAAAGGGCCTATCGGCTTGTAGTTATGCTTCTTGTGTTGTTGGTGTTGGTGTGTGCCTGTGCGTGAGTGTGTATTTGTTTGTTCGGTCGGAAACTCATAATTTCTGTGCTTCTAGATCTGGAGTGTTCAGGATGGAAACGGCAGAATGGCAACATTGATGGCGTTATCAGTGAGGTTCTTTCAGTTTGGTAGGTGATGGGGAGAGTAAAGGGAGAATAGATGCTTGGAGGAGGCTGATAACAACTGGTAGGAACTGACAAGGAGCTGCAGAAGGTCAGAGTCACTGATTTGGCTGCGCACTTCCTGTCAACATTGAAGCCTTGGCTCTGGGTAGGAAGGGTGGGGGTGATGTGTGATATGATGTCATTGTGGATGCATGGTGAGAAGCAGATAACAATTAGGAGCTGATGGAGTACTTCGAAAGACACGAACTGTTGGGTCCGCTCCGCTCTTCGGGTTGATAGGGGGCACTTGACAATTTGCTAGATGGTGTAGGTTGCTACGGAACCGTCGATGATAGGTGATAAGGATTGATAGCATGTGATATGAGTCGATTAGGAGCCATGGAAGGCGAGAGCAACTCGGTCAATAGAGCCTTCCCTTCTAACAGTGATGCAGCATTCAGGTGTGTGATGTGGATTGTATCGAGATCATTGATGGTCGTTACCAAGGGCTCATAACAACTGAGAAAACCAGATAATTGTCACGAGATCACCCCCTAATTTTGCATGACAGCAAGCAGCGTGTTATATAGATTGCGATTGGATCGTAGATGACGGCTGGTACCAGGTCTCTAGCCCTTTTAGCATGCATGACGTGGCCTTAATATTTTCTTGTTACACAGCATAAAATGAGACAGAGACTAGATTGACAAGGACCGACCAAAGTCTGTATCGTAAAAGGAGAACAACTTTGGTTCATTACTTACTACTCTATAATAACTGAATCCTAGGAGAAGGATCCGAAAATTTATAGCTCCTGTCCCACGAACCTAGAGCATTCAGGGTCGGAAGGAATACAAATGTAGGGGGGAAACATTGAGGTAGGTGATAGGAAGTGATTATAATCATAAGGAGTGATAAGCAGCTGTAGAACGCAGTTTCAAGTTTCAGGATTTATTACGTAATCAATCTAAATTCGAATGCCGTATTATGGTTTGTCTGAATTCCTTTTTTCTTGTACTTCACCAGTTCTGCCCTATCTTCCTCATATCATCGCGCGCCGAGTAAGGATGGCCTCATCTCCACCGGTTCACGTAGAAAGAAGAGTGGTAGTGGGTTGCTAACTTGTCGTTTATGTGTACGAAGCATTCTATCTCAGCCAAGAGACTGTCTATGTCAGAGACTGTTCCACAACAATGCGCAGATGTCCAGCGCCACCACCGGAATGAAATAAGACCTTACCTGGTGGCTGCTGTCTCTATTCATGTTTCTGTCACTCCAGTTATATCGCCATGTGATCTTGTCCATAGCGCTTCCGAGCTCAAGTTGGCGCGCAGTAGTTGAAAGAGACTGATCATTCCAACTATAAAGCGCTTGAAACTGATAGCCATGAGGTTTGACGATAGTCTTCTGTGGGGCCCAAACACTTCTGGCAGACGACACTGGGCTGAGGGAGGGTTGTGAATGGAAGGATGGGGAAAACCGATAATCCGCCACCACATAAGCACCAAAAATAGAAGGCAATAATAATGGCTGATATGAACAGACCTACTGCTCCCGTTATAATCCTTCATTATAAAAGTAACCTACAATAATATAATAATGGAACCTGTTCCGTCATATTCAGCATATTCATAATTCAATCACGTAGCGTCTCCATCAAGTCTTCCGTGTCCCTACGAAACTCGAAAGATTTAGCCTCGGAGGAAGGAGTTGTGGATTTCCGCTAAACACCACACCGTCACACCAATAAGGGTTCAGCGAATCATCCTACACCCTTTGCTTTGTTACGTCGAGCTGAAATCTTCAAATAACAAAATCGCAATGCTCTCTCGCTCCTCACGGCCTTTTTCAGAACAATTGTTATTTGATATTTTTGATCTAAAATTTTGTATTATAACTAACTAACTGTGGCTGTAACCACAGTCACAGCGTTAGTGTTACATAATTAATTGTAAGACGAATCTTTTCTATATTCTGTCTATTTTCATAGAGCTTCCCTTGTTAGTCCAATCTTCACTATTGCCGAAATACCTCACGTTGCAAATTTCACAGAAATCTGGCAGATAGGTATACAACAAACAGCACCAACGCATGCAGGGCCTAAACTGCATAGAGATGCATTTGTTTGTCTATGCATGTACAGCCCTGCAAAATAGGACTTAGATCTGAGCCACTTAGACACAAAGAAGAGTGCTTCTTCCGCTAGTAGTTATGGTCAAACAATCGCCTTACATTTCAGGTCCCGTATGGAGAAAATAGTGGGCCCACTTGGTCACGACCCAACAGCTCCTGATGACTTGAACACCGTCACCGATACGCTTATGTTTGACTCTGCTACGTAAGTGCTCTACTGTTCTATCGTGATAAAGCCGTAACTAGATATGTCGGTTTGTCTGTCTGTCCGTATGACAAGCTAATGATTACGATGAAGGTAGTGGTATCAAAAACCATGCTCTATTTTACATTTCCTTCCTATATATAAAGCGGTAACTTGGTAGAAAAGTTAGTGTAGTAGGGTGAGCACTGCGGAGTGAATTGAGTGGTATGGAGTGAGGTGGGTACTCAAAACTATGATTTCGATCTGTACTGGCATCGCGCTACATACGTGCTACAAAAATCCGAGGTGATAATGTAGTTGAGAAAATTTTAAATTCTCCGCTTTTTTAAACTGAGCGCTGAAACGGAGACAAGGAACTTAGCCCATAATTGTGCTATAGAACGTTCCTCAACCGAGAATATACACTTTTTTGATCTGAGCTTCAGGAGTGAAGGAGCACAGGGGTGGGTGATTCAAGAAAGTACTCAACTCACTCCCATCTTAGCTTCAAGATCGGCTACCCATCCTTCTCTGCACTCAAGCCGGAGCGTTGGATGAAAGCGAGCTCCCCTGACTACATTTTCTAGCTACCTTGTAAAAGTAAGGAATGAGGCTCGGCGAGGCCGGGCGATCCGACTGGTACATTATAATTCCACTGAAGCGGCGAAAAAAGAGAGGCCCCCATATAACCAAAGATCATACGAAGGAGCCAAGTGATTTAAGATCTGGAGAGCACGATGACCATTCCTCTCTGCCAACGAAGCCACCCTGCTAGCGTCGGCGCCACTTCCAGGCGGGTTTGTCTCTGTGGGCTGTAGGACCGTTCTCCTGGGTGGGCTACGAACTGTTTCAGGAAGCAAAGTCGGAAAGTGCTAAAGTACGTCCACTACTATGTTCTTTGAGTACAAGTCTGTCAAATTTCACGCCGGCAGCGACGTAATCACGAGCGTCCTACTGTTGCTAGTGACTCCCACAAAGGACATCATTTTGCTGTCCTTCTAACAAAAATTTCGTGAAAGATTACACGTTCGCTGTTATGGCCAGAACGTGGTCGTTTTTCTTGAGGAATGAATTTTTCATAAAATTTTTTCAGCTAGGAAAAAACAGAGTTGAGCGTATCTCCCCTCAGATGAGGAAACAATTTTTTGCATTCTTCCGGCACTGCACTGCTTGTCTGTCGAGATCGGACATCGAGTTTCTTTCTTCTGCTTTCATTTTCTCTCATCACCCCTATTCAAGGAAAGTGGTTCTGCACTTTAACAGTATGACTCTTTACTATTTTAAGATTCAAGGAACATTCAACAGAAAGTTTCTAGGGATGTGTAGGGTGCCTGCAAGAAACTCAACACTGATGGAAAAACTTTAAAAAATGCGAAAAAACATGTGAAGCATACATGTTCTTCATAAACTGTGCACCTTATGCATGCTGATTCTCTACATCCGGTTACAAAACAGTCAATGGTCTCAAGACCAAACAAATACTCAGCCGGTGTGACGCAGGAACCTGGGTATTCACCAATATACCCAGCCTTGTACCAAGAGCATGTTAAAAAAATGGAAAAACGATGAAAAAACTAAACAATCGATAGATGCGCATGCATAAGGTGCACAGTTTGTGAAGAACATGTGTGCTTCACAAATTTTTCAAAGTTTTTCCATTGATGTTGAGTTTCTTGCAGGCGTCTTACACATTTCCAGTAACTTTCTGTTGAATGCTTCTCTAATTTTGAAATAACAAAGAGTCAGCTGTAAACGCGCAGTACCACTCATTGACACAATTTTTCATAGAAGTATTGCTCAATTTTTAGGATAATTGCAGCCCTCATCGTTACATTCTTCGTCTTCTATTTCATCGACTTCTTTATGCAAATGTTCACAGGAGTTTCCACTATGTTGAGCGCGGATGCATCTCCTTCTGTTGCAGTAAGTGCTAGTCTCTTAGCAACACTCATTATTATTTATTATTGATATTCAAAGAACAGTGATTCTGAATGAAGTTTTCCTTAATTTTTTGGAGTGAGTTTTCTTTTTCAGAGTCTCCAACCAGTTATCCCAACTAGAGCGCGCAAGCGCCGAAAGTCAGGAACTTCGATGTCAAAGGAGACCACTTCCCCGGGAACGTGGCAATCAGACGCCACCCAGCCAACAAATACCCCACTCGGTACCCCGTCACCAATGAAGGACCTTCTGACTAAAAGCATAAGGCCAAACTTTTCTCAAGAACCGTTATTACCACCCGCCAATCCTCCATCCTCACAAAACAAAAATGTAAGTTACATATTGAGCCTCCCCTACGAAGAAGATTGTTACGTTGTTATTATTATCATTGTTCAGGTTGATCAGTCTTCGGTGAAGTTTGACTCTACACCGAAGCCGTCACCAGATAGAAGGCTTGCTGGGCGCTCGCCGGCAGCGATAGAACCTGCTCCTGAAGAAGATTCCGACATAGTTTATCAAAATAACAAAGTGAGCGAACATAATGGGGAACTGAAAGTGTGGTAGTATTTAAAACAATCCACAATTCAAAGAGCGTCTCTGCTCCGCACATCCATCATAAGATATCTCCGAAATATCACTTGATCAATACAACAGACTTTCTGAAGGCCAATATGAAAATAATGGGACCCATTAGCGCTCACTTTTTTGACTACAAGACTACATTTGGGCCGTTATGTAATCCTACGCTAAATGTTTGGTCACAGTACGTAGCCAGGGTCCTAGTTAAGGTTACGAAAACCTAGGAGCCTAGTATCTCTAACTCGATGTTGCAATGGAAGCAGTGACCATGCTAGTCAAAATAAACATTCGAGTCCACTAGTGAAGAGAAGACACGAGTCTCACAAAATGTATCCAAAAATAAAAGGATATATCAGCAGCACATAAGAGTAGTAAGTGCGAGCAGCTGTACTGCTTGCTTGCACTTCGGTTCTTGCAAGCAAAGCGGAACCATGGGTGCACGCGTCTTCCTGGTAAATGTCAGTCGCTGCATGCATCCCATGCTAACTTAAACAATGGTCACTACTTGTTTGAGAACCTTCCACTCATTTCCAAAATCGACCAGTCATAGTTCAACATCACAGAGGAAAAGTGCACAGCTCCGAACATTTTTTTCAATTAAAGTTTCGAACATGAAGAAAAGTAGTTTGGCAGAAATTGATTTTACAAACATACTTGCGTAAAACTGCCTTCAAGTAGTTGTTGGGAACTATACCGGAAACTGTCTAACTTTTTATCTCCTCTCTAATAGTCATGTTTTGCAGTCATGTGAACGGCGTAGTGGTCCACAATCGCTTCCTATAATGAAGTCGATCTCGCCTGTCGAAACGCTCAAGCTCGCCGAAGAGAAGGAAACGCAGGTTTGCTAAACGATGGAGCTCACACCCTAGCAATATCGTATCGATTTTCAGTCAAGCACTGATTTTCCTTTGTAGACGTATGCAGAAACAACCCCCAACGAACATCTCGAACAGATGTCTTGCAAGGATTATGATTATGATGGTATACTTGACGAGGTGTGTTGTTTCAATCAAAGGCGCAGCGATGGCTAGTGTCCATTATTTGTTCTCGCGATTGCTGGAGGCTGATCTACTTGTGTAATGGGAATGGTTCGTCCGGAGAGCTGTGGTTCAACGCAAGATCCTAGTTCATCACGAATGCAACGGTGCACACATTCTCTCTCATCTAAAACATCCAAAGCAGTTTCTTGAAACACTAGCCAGGCCCACGTAATCTGCTTTACCGGCACTATGTACTTAGTTTCTACTTTCTACTTCTTACTGTATTTCTCTGTGACCATCGCTACACCTTCCCTCTCACTGTCCCCACACCACTTTTTCTGCAATGTACTCCATAATTAAATATCTATATAATATCATAATATCCAACTGCTGAATTTCTATTATTTGAGAAGCATCAAGTGTACTTCGGAGGAAACGTGTATGATGAAATACACGAGCTACCATACGCTGACGATTTGCCAGGCGACGAGTTTAATGAATATCGGTATGAAGAAGCACAGGTAGGTTGCTTTTCCACTACATATTCGCAGACGAGTAAGATCGATTTGGTATTAATAAAGACACTGACAACTACAATCCAAATTCAAAGAATATGTGTTTGTGTCCATGGGTTTGTGTGTATTGTATGAGTGGGCATGTATGTGTTATGAGTGTGATATGTATGTCTATGTGCAAGTGTACGTGTGGCATGTAAGTATGTGTGTGTGACTGAAAACACATGTGGCAACTGGCAGGAGTAGACTTCACCCACTGGTGGAGTCCAAGCACTGCTGGTTGAGTGCGCGCGGAAATTAGTTCACGAAACTTGGAGAATTCGAATTTGGGAGAGATACAGAAAGGCAGCTTTGGTCGTGGGTGGCAGAGTGGACACAGACTACGGGGGATTGGAAAGTGCGCGCAATGTGCGTTACCTGAGAGAAAATGCACAGTCATGGAATAAGCCATACTACTTAAACATACGTAGTGGCGACGCCCACTCACTTCATGGATATCCTGGATAGACACATGGGAACTGCGCTCGGCAAGTTCGCTCTGACACGGTATCGTCTGTTCCCCTCCTTGTGTGGGGCCTTGTGATGGTATCTGGTGCAATCCGACTACGACGACCATGGAAACCCTGCGCCTCTAAGGGCATCTTGTGTCATCCCCTAGACCATTACGTGTCGATATAATTGTCTGCAATAATATCATTATTGTTAATCGTATTTAACGTAGTGTACATTTAAAGGAATTAAAAACTAACAAACACACGTTCACAGCGCTCAAGGTGCATATCGTGAAANAAAGATCTCCCTCACTACACAATGTCAAACTCCATGTTGGTGGTGTCAGCAAGAGGGCGTTTGCACGCCCTATCACCGCCTGTAAGGAGCGGGAATTCCCACTCTATCAAAACGACCCTGTGGACGATCCTGATAAGTAACATCCACGGGCTGCGCACCAAGGGCTGCCCGAATAACTGCAGTTACGCAGAGGGAAAAAGGCATCGTTGTCATTGGAAAAGTATGTAGATCTCACACGTGGGCGCGACACGGTCCTTGTGTGAGCGGTTGGACGAGTTTTACCGAGAAAAGCGGCGGTGAAGGGAGTGTTTGTCTGCTTTCATAGTCCGCCGGGGGAATACTCGGCCTGCGGTATAGGTCAAGATTCAGTTGTAAACAAGGGGCAAGCGCCGCCCCCGGCCGGCGTGCTCGCGCGCTCGCGGGCTGGCCGGCGCACTATGAAAGCAGCCTTTGAGCGAGTGGACGAAGGCGACGCAATGACTGCAATTCCATACAACACACCCGAAAGCAGCAAGGGGCGTGGAATGCATACAAAAAATAATTTAAAATAGCTCAACATACTTCAATACAATGTGTAAGAGTGTACTAGGCAGTTAACAAGGCATCATACTGAATAAATAGCTGTCAACAAAAATCCAAAGCAACCGCTACAGACACATTTAAAATCACAGCACAAGTCAAAAAAAGAACGAATAACAGCCAAAGCGACTCACCTTTTCAATCCTTGTTAAAGATGGAAGTTAGGTGAATAACAGTAACAGCAAAAAAATAAGAAAGAATAGTAGAATAGCAGCAAAATATCTCCTCATCACTGGGCGATCGATTGATTTCGTGCTTAACGGTAGGCCTTGGCTCGAATATTTGCATTCTGTACCGCCTCTACATCTCGTGTGTTGTGACATCGGCCGGGGAGCGGGAAGTCCGGACGAGCCGGTAACGGGGCTCGCACTATGCCCTAACCGTTGAATTTTTGGGCGCGAGAGGGTCCTTCCAATCAGCCGTGTGGGCCACTGGGTATTCTTTGGGGAAGAACTCAGTAACCACTTTTGTGGTGAACTGTGCCTTTAACAAGAACAATCACCCTGAAAGAGGATCCGCGAGTCATCCTACTTTATGGTCGCGAATAGCGCACAAAACATGGTTGATTTAAAATAGTTCTAAAAGGTGTTGATAGTAAAAAAATCTGGCGATGTACAAGCATATGCTTTTCTTGACTATAAGCTGATTGCAGATATACTATTGGATGCACGTAAATAAATGTTAAAACTGGAAACAGTGAGAAGACTCGGTCAGATGCGTATGCTGTCTGTACATTGTAAGAGTTAAAGGCGGTAACCCAGATTATACGAAAAATGGAAGATAAGATGGGAAATAATGCAACGGAGGTGAAGGAATTTCGTGGATCGGTGTTTCCGAAGTTAAAAAAGGCCTCGAAAAATCATCAAAAGGGGGGCTGGACGAGAATAAGACCAGAAGAATAAAGGAGAGTGGGGCGCTTGGATGAGCTGCGCACAGCGCGTCATTGCATACGTGTGGGTTCTGGTGCAAATATCTGACTACGGCAGGCAAAAATTTATCCGCTTATAAGCTAAGTAAACAAAAAACCCTAATTACACCAAAATAACTCTTTTTTTAGCCTGTTGGGGAAGGGAATTAAATAAGGGATAGCGGCAGTAAAAAGAATAACAGAGGAAAAAAGAATGGGAAAAAACAGCCTCATGGCCTCATCACTTAGCGATCAGCTGATTGTGTGTGGGTCCTTGAACGAATATTCGCAATCTGTATTGCCTCGACACTCGTCTGACGTAACTTCGATCGAGGGGTGGGAAAGCGAATCAAGACAGCAACAGGGCTTTCACTGTGCCCTGATCTTCGAGATTTTTGAGCGAGAGGGACCCTTCTACCACCCATAGGGGCCACTGAGTATTCCTAAGGGAAGAATTCAGTAACCATTTTTATCGTTAACCGCCTTTAACTTGAAGCTGAAACGGAGTAGACAATGCAATATGCGCGCTAACTTAGTAAAGTGTATTCGAGAGCGATCGAGTGTTTCAAAAGCATTGTCTAAAGAAAGATCAAGCATTTTGCCTTTATGACATAAAAAAGCATTTTGCGTTCGGAGTTAGGAGGCAGGAGGAAGTGTTTATTAAAAGAAAAACTAAAATAAGTGAGTCTCTCATCATTTGACAGAGTCATGTACCTCAATGGGATCACGGTTTAGGCGCGAAACATGGTAAGTATCACTAGCATTATCAACTTCTCTCGACTCCTACAGCTAGATGCATTTGAAATTTAAGGGAGTTGAGCCGTATGTGAATACAGTACATAAAGTTGATGGTAAATTGATCAACACATTATGACATGACGATTGAACCGCATACCAAACAAAAATGTGACTCGATATGCAGCCAGATGGCCGCAGTGAGTGAAAGTGCGCTATAGAGATCGTGCTGAAATCAGGCACACGTGTCTTTAGCTAAACTAAATGGGAACACATATGGAAATTGTAGAAGAGCTGATTTGGCACTACAACCATCCAGGGTTGTTCGGCTGCCTACCGAATTGGGTGGAGCTTATATAATGAATATACAATTGGGTTCAGAAAAGTCCCAGAGCCCGGAGTGATTAGTAGGTAGAGGCTAGAGATAGTGACAGCTAAAGCTTATCTTTCTAAGTTCATCAGCTGGGCATCATAGAGGGTGGGGTTTAGGAAAAATTCTTTTCAGGTTCTGGAACATTCCAGAAGTCAGGAAAATGAACATAGGCTGAGAGCGCGATCAACTTTTTATTAAAGGCGAGATGTGCGCAGTTTGGACAAAGCTAAAACTTAGCATTCTATGAGCTAGGATTTGGAGGTTAGTAAGGCATTCCAACTTTGACAACAAGAGGTGGCCATCCAAGTGCAAATATCAAATCGGTGTTGCCTTCCTGCTCACTGTTGAGTTTTGGCAGATACAAGTAAAGTAATGTGCACATGTCTAATTATAGGTACATGACTGTTCAAGAATGATCTAGAGGATCATCACTTCGTTTATGCAATATTTTTTTAATGTTAATTATTGGTTGACGAATTTTTTACCAACCTTGGGTTATAACGGTAATCGGGAATGGACGCTAACACGTGCATTACATGCCCACAAACGCCTATCAACGATCTTACTCCAGAGGAACCTAGTAACTTCCTCATGTTTCGTACCCCGAACTACTATAGACGAAATCCACTTCACCCAAGACTCCAGTAGTTTTGACTTCTGGAAATCACGCACTTAGAACGGGTACTCAAGAAAGGTGTTCTTTTAAGTGCGCAGCTATCATGAATTGCATTCAGAATTATGTATGAGTTTGACTATTGAAAACTCCTCCTCTCCTCAAGCAATGAAAAACTGTCAGCTGAGTGTTTGATGGTGCTTGATGTCAATGCAGAAGTTCTCTCGCCCTTGCTCTTCTCCTTTCTAAAGATTCGATCGCCCCGTGATTAAAAAAAACCTATAAAAGTCCATCTTGCGACAAGAGGGAGGGAATTGTGAATCCCAGACAATGATTGAGGGAATAGTGAATCCCAGACAATGATTACAGAGATACACGAAGTTAGCCCTTTACGTACAGAGATGATTGTATTCAATCGCACTCTGAAGATGTTGAGTTTGTTTTGACTGTGCTACACGTCATAAATACTATTTGAGGCCTATTTGGAATATATGAATCAATTTGAAGACATCCGATCTGAATTCTCCATTGATGACGATGCTGAATTGGACGAATGGAAAAATCCGGGGGTGTGTTTGCATTTGAGTTACTGGGAACCTGCGAATTTCACTCAAGTAATGAAAGCCTTTAAAGGCATATAGAAAAATTTCAGAATGTAACAATTTGTAAAGGCATGGCTACAAAGACTGTATGAAAGCATTCGGGCTTTGCCCATAGGTAATCTCAGCAAGGAAGTTTTCATTGGCATGCTGATTCTGCTGCATGTAACATATACATTTCGCTTTGAGCTTTTCTTCAAATCCCGAGCGTGTGATTTTCACGCATTCGAACATTGTATTTTTTGAAATTTCCTTGCAACATTTTGCTGATATTTTCCTAGAAATCGACGCCAGCATGTACCAGGTATGTGGAGTCGGGGCATGAACTCTCCTTTAGCCCAATTGCTTAGGTAGAGAAAAGAAGTTATAAATTAGAGCTCCCGATCGGCTTAGTTCGATTACTACTTACTCGGGAAGCCGAAATTGATTTGTTACTTCATTTCCAGCTTGGAAGCATGTTTCAGGAACACTTCCTGTCGGAATATGATTCAAACATGAAAAAACCTTCTCTCTCGGAATCGGAATAATAACTGTATAGGTTTTTTACAGTCCAAGTTCCACTACAAGACATCCGTGGCTTACATTGCTGCTCTCAAGCGAATGAGTTGGGGATAAAGTGGTATCATTTCATCTTAAGCTGACACGTCCGAGCAGTCCTACCCTTCCCCCNCCCCCACCTCCCCCCCCCCCCCCCTATTACTCTAGAATAACATGAGAGTACAGGCAGGATTCTCTGTCACATTTTCACTCAGACTGCTCAGATATAATAGTTGCTTTCTAGCACGGCAATCCAGCGTCACCTGGTAATTCTTCGGAAAAGCATCCATCGAACATCAATCCTCCGTCACCTGAGACTTCATCGAAAAGGAATCCAACAAACGTCAATCCTCCGTCACCTGAGACTTCATCGGGAAAGCATTCATCGAACACCAATCCTCCGTCACCTGAGAATTCTTCGGAACAGAATTCATCTGACATAAGCGACTCGCTTTTCTTCAACGCTGAGCGTATATTTAATCAGTTGCAGAAGAAAAGACAGCAAAAGATGTGCAGTACGGAACTGCTGCTGCAAAGTGGTAGGCAGAATGTGAGTAGATCCATAGATATTGCTTGAGGGCATAAATTCAAGCATAAGCGAGACTCTAAATTGATGAACTTAAGATCGATACACATCTGCTTTCCCCTGAGAACTGCGACGAGGTGCATCCAAAAATTAATGAGCAGGAGCTAGCACATAGAAGAGTGAGACGTTTTTCGTTTGTTTTAATAATCGAAGCAAATTGAAGTCTGACCAGTTCAGTAGTCTATTGTATGCAGACCAGTGAGAAAAGATACCATGTTCCTTCTTCTTCCTCTTACTAATAGTTTGAAGATAAGTAAATTTTCCTTGAATTCCCGGTGAAAACTGAGGTGACAGCTTCGTTGGGAAGTTCTTTTCAGAGAGAATAAAGAGTCCATCATTCTCTCAGACCAGTCTGCTACCAACAAATCTTTGAAAGACTTGGTTGCTCTGGTTGAGTGTTGAGCATCCTTCAGGATTGTTCCTGAAGGATGCCTGTGTGACAATGCCCCACTTGCCATTACTCCGCTCATTATTCGAAAATTGAAGTGAAATATGTTCAGTGCAGCAACCACTGCTTTCAGCAATTTATCTCAAGTGATCGATAAGGTATATGGGGACAGAACCGAATACGGAGGACTTCCTGTGAGTGCGTGGCGAGAGAATTTGGTGTGGATGGGTAATGTCAAATAAATTCCTACCAATTAGAGGCGGAGTTCGGGCAGAGATAAAGACTATTTTTGGAATTTCTTCGCTTCTTCACCATCAACGCACTATTCTCCACCAACACTTCCACTTTTAAACTTAAAAAGGTACCTCGAAAATATCGTGGAACGTGCCTCCAAATGAGAACCCAGAGTCGAATAGAAGTTTGGCATAAGACATTGAACCACTAGACATGCAAAATTTCACGCGGCATGGAACGTCCTTGGGTGGGTTTTTCCTGTCCAACCTATCCTATGCAGAGTCCCTTCCTATATAAGTTTCCGTCGTGCCCTCCCGTATCTACCTTCGATATTTCCTGAGGAACTAATCAATAAAAAAAGCTACGAAATATGAAGTTAGACCACTACTAACCAATAATGTGTGCTGATCGATAGCAACCAATAGTGGTCCCCTAAATTTCATATACATGGACAGGGTGCGCCATGATGTGATCCCCTTCTTGCACCCTTTTTCTGAACGTTCCTGAGACTTTTCATCTATTTTGGCTTTTAGGAAATGGTGATGTGGCAATTAGCGCTTTTATCACATACATGGCCTCGAATTTTGAGTGCCGGACTGACACCTGCCCAAGTCAACCGAGCCTTTCATCTCTCTGGGGTCGGTCAACTGATAGCAGACTCGTCAGTGAGGGGATATACCAAAAACCAAATTGATCAATGGCAAAAGACTTCATCAGCCTATCTCTTTTCTTATTCCGTGCTTCATTTAATCACACATGAACGTTTCCCACCTCGCAAGATTTTTGACAAAATGATAAGGACCTGTAGCCGAGAAAGCACTTCTCAGATCTCAACAGCCTAGCCTCTCCAACGCTTTCATGCTAGAATGGTGAGAGGGAAGAACTTTTGAAGGAAGAACCACTGCGTTGGAACGTTCAGTACCTTTAAAAGTCTGAAATCTTCGCTATAATAAGCATGGAAGGGAAATGAAGCACTCAACATGGAAGGTCCATTACACAACATTACTTGAGGGCCTGGGGGCCCTTTTTGCCGAGAAAAAGCACACTTACTGAAAGCTAGATTTTCTATCAATTTATTGTGGAACCTTTACAAATTAGTCTTTCATCTAATAGCGATATTTATGAGCCATTTTATACCCACGCATCCACACTACATAATTCCTACCATGTCGAAATCTTCATACTACATTGCATGCATCTCCGTATTTCCTCTTACTCAGAACTGGTCCTTTTCAGGAACGACCCACATTCATTTCACTTCATTTTTATTCAAATAATTTTTTTCTGCTTCCGATTTACTTCTTTTACTTCAACGGTTCCATTTCATAGGGTTTCAGGGAAAAAGTTGGTAGTCTTAGTATCGTTTAAGTCTAAAGAAAGTACTATTTTTCAAAATAAGTAGGAGACGTGATGAACTGGCTAGGCTTATCAATTTTTCTAAGGATCGTACAAGCGCTCAAGTATCTCCACCTTCTGAAGACTCTGCGACCCAGCATAGCTCTGGTGACGACGACGAAGTTGAAAAACCCAGATCAACAGAACCTTTGAATCACCGGGTGAGCTACAGTATTTTGATCACAGCTTGATGTGAATAAATTTTCCATTTAGATGTACAATCGTTATGCAAAACCGTTTCTATCAAACTTTGACAACTCTCCTCTTCTTAAAGATGGTTGAGTTTTTTGCTGTTGCTCTTATCTTGATACCATTTCTGAGTATGCCCATGAAGATAAAAAAGTTCGTCATACCTGGTGCAGTAGTTGGCGGAATAGTCGCACTTCAATTGTTTGTATAAGGAACAAACCAAAGTAAAACTGATAACAAAATGTAAAGGGATTGCAGGATTCATAGAGGAGCGAAAAAATGGAAGAACGGCCAAGTCGATCAGTACATTCAGCATCAGGCAGTCTATGGAAATTCGCCGATACCATCATGTTTTGTTCACGTATCCTGACCCTACACCGTATAAGGTTTGTTTTCTACCTATGTAAACACGATTGTGTTCTGGTTTTGGAGAGCTACAAAACAAATAGGTCGAAGGCAACTGCAGAAGCGAAGCGAAGTGAGTGAATGCACAGCTCCATGATCGCCCGCACTCATTTTAGTTTCACTCGGGGAAGATTTGGTTAATCATAGCACTTTGAATACATGTATAGCCAGAAATTCTGAAAGAAAAAGATCCCGCTCAATCTCTGCATTTAACATTACAACACGCTCTCAACGATAAACCCACTTAATTGCAGACTTACTGAATGTCGCATTACTTGCAAAGAAGTTTTACACCTTCGACCGTGAGAAGGTTGCCTCAAAGGGGCCAGTGCTTTCTAGAACAAAAAGCATTGCGTCTGCAATGAGAGCCAGAAGGATTCTGCGTAATGGGAGTATTCTTGACCTTGCGTAACAAATAATCGACATTCGACGCTTTGAAAAAGAATCGAGTCAGTTCCACTGAGTGCTCAGCTTTTCAAATCCGGAGTCATAGAGACTGAGGCAGCGACTATCACTTTGGCACCCGTAGCTTAGTGCATTTTTCACTGCACGGAGGCTTCCACGTTTCCAAAATGGGATACCTTAAAGAGAGCTCGACGTTTCGCAACCTTCTTCAGGCTCCACTCACCCTACAAGGCTCCGTCGAGACAGCGTTGGCACGAAGCTAGTTGATTTCGGTCGCAACTTCCACATGAACATGAAATATTTTTGTTCAGCGTTCCTGTTTCTGTATAGTCGTAAACTTTCTGCTGGAGTAACTCTAACATGCGACCTCGGCCAAATCGCGAATCTTACTGCGTCATTTAAGATTATAAAATACACAACGTGCAACCGCACATTATGCCATAACCAGCCGGGTTGCTCAGCTTACGCCGGGCCTCATTCCTTACTTTTATTTATTTATTTATTTATTTATTTATTTATTTATTTATTTAATGACAGCGTAGACAGGTCTACATGAAGTAGGCAGCTAAAACCCATATAAAACCAAGGAGGACAAAGGCGCACAATAACCGACATAACACCTGTGCTCATCAGAAGAAAACAAAACAAAACCTGAAAGAACATCGATAATATAAGTCAAAAGAAGACGAGAATCAAGAGAACCCTGTAAAAAGTAACATAAGAAAACATGATACTAAGCTTCAGAGGCCAGCCTTCTGGATTGGCTAAAAGACAGAGGAAGCGTATTTTGACGAAATAACTTGTTGAAACGATTTGGAGCCCTAATAGGAAAACTATTGAACCTGACCTAAGATCTAGAAATCGGGATCCTGATCTCGAGGCGACCTCCCCTGAAGTTTGCCCCAACGACCTCAAAAAAGGCTGAAGAGCACAAACTAAATCTGCCAGTCAATATTTCAAAGGCACTGTTCAAGAAAAAATGGTTTCGGGGATTTGCACATGGTTTGAATTCGACGCCCCCTCTGATACCATTTGTGCAGTAGTGAGGTCGGAAAACGGTCTGGATAGGGCACAATAAGGGCAGGAACAGTGGGGGACGGGAGGCCTCCGCCCCTCGCTAGGCTGACTACGAGTTCTAATTGTCCTTCACCACATTCGCACTGGAGCGATGTGCCTGCTTGGGTGTGCTGTCTGCTATTGCAGACATTGCGTCGCCTTCGTGCACTCGCCCGAACACTTCCTTAACCGTCGTTCTTCCAATGNTCTTTTTTGACCCTTTCTATTTCTTTTTGTTCATCGTTTTTTGCGCTTTTTTCGTTGTTATCGCTTTATTTTAGAGTAGTTCTATGAATTCCCGTCAAAAAAAGGGTATCCTAAATTTATCGTAAACGGTGCCTTTAAACACCATAGTAAACATTTATAACACGCCTGGAAGATAAACTTCTAAGCCCTACTCGGTCTTTCTTCACGAAGCAGTTGTAGATAGGAGAGGGAGTGCATCGTTTTTATCCAACACTGAGGGCTAGCGTGCAGAAAATAAAGGATAGCCGACCTTACCTGTGCTTAAAAACGATTCTAGGCGAAGGAATATAATTTTAACCCAAATCTTTGGATGTGAGGAGTGCCGCCGTGGGGGTGAGATGATAACCACGTGCAAAAAGATAGGGTGATGTATGAGTTGAATATCCTTTGACTCACTCATCCGGTGCTCTTGCTCTCCTCAAGCTTGGGTGAGAAACTGTATATTCTTGGCTAAAAAACACTCCGCACCACAATTGTCACCTCATTATCTGAGCTCCAGCTCTTCAAAATCACAGTTTTGAAGAACCCACTTGACACCACATTACTCACTTTAATTCGCAGTACTCGCTATACTCCTTCCCACTACCAAGTTACTACTTTATGAATGAGAGAGATTACAGAATATGTAAGAACTACTCCAAAACCTGTATGAACCTTATGTATAGTTTTTGTTGAAAAATGTTGACTATCACACTCAACTCCTTGGTCTAAAACTACTGAAGGTTCTAGAATTTTCGGGGTGATTTTTCCAGGTGCTCTTAACCGGATCCTTTTTCGGCTGGAAAGTATCGCTTCCAATGCAACGGGATAAGTAAGTATTTGTCATTCCTCAAATCAGGTGTCTAGAATGGTGTTGGATTGATGTGGTCTCTAGCTATCCCTTTCATTGTCCTCATTTACTTATTTCAGAAATGTGACAAGATTATTCTTACTGTCTGATATAACTAGTCGGATGGCCCGGCTAACACAGACTCTAATTTCTGTAACAAAGTCGAAAGCACTACCGCTCCTCTTTAATTCTCTTTTCGTGACGAACAATTCATTTTTGGCTACAAGAGTTTCGATTCCTAATTACTCGTGGAACTGAGATAGCGCGAACGATTCTCGCTTGTTTGCGAAGCGTCCGCCAGTCCCGTTGATCTCAAATACCCATCCCCTTAAATTCAGATTGTTCCCTTTACTGAATTTGCTGTGCACCGAGTTGTCTGCAACTGCATGTGATGTATGATTTATTTATTAGATATGGAGTTCATGAGGGACGAATAAGTGATAGTCAGAGGATGCAATGACATAAGAATAGGGAGAGTGGGGAACAGTATCCCAGCTCAACTCCTCCAACTTTCACGACTTTCCTGCGCTACGTAGGTCCTAGCATTATTGTACAGCAGGTGGATGGAAACCCAGCTCACCGTTTTCTCGAAGAGCGTCTGCAAGTTTCTGCAGACAAATGGCGTGAATGATATCGGTGAGCGTGAGCTCTACCAGTGAAAAACAATTATTCTTCCTTTGAGGCCTCCATATCGTAATTTAACATCCTCGCCAATCCCGAAGCAGTAGTAGGGGAGACACGTCCTGCAGTCGAGGCCCGACTTGGCTTGCATTGGTAGCTGTTCTCTTCGGAGGAGTTACGCGTTATGACGCGTGCTTAAATCGTGGAGGACCTATATCCAGCGATCAGTCTTTTAAAGACTCCTTCCACTGAGAGTGGTGAAGGAGATGTTGACAAATGCATACTCTAGTGAAGCGCCCACTTTCGGTCATTACATGAGGGATCCATAGAGTTGGTATCCCTTTGTAGCTAGTTGTAAGAGCATGGACTGAGGACTAATAGATGGGTAGGTCGATTCTCGTCCCTGGGGCTATTCGGGATCCTCTTTGATAGCGTTGAGAAAGGTCGAGTGGTCCCTTTCCAGCCCCCCCCCCCCTCCGAGACTTGTCTTCAAAACCCGTGCCTCCTCCTTTGAAGTGAGCGAACCAGCGGTTGATTTTGATAGTGCTAGAATGATGTCCTATCCTAATGCGCTGTCGATGGCATTAACGGTAGCCCTCGTTCCAGTGCCGCGCCGCTATTCATAGAAAATAAGGGCTCGATGATGCTTGTGTGGAAATGACGTCATGATTGAAGTTAGAAAAGGCAATCCAGCCATATATACCTTGTGTAGACCCTTCAAAACTAATCTACAGCGGCCTCGTGGCAAATCATGGGTACTGGCCAAGAGTCGCTAAATCCGGAACTTTTAAAGAATCGGTATAAGAATTCCTCCGAACCCAACATTAATAAGAATGCAGTGAAATCTCTTATACTCAGGTGTTTGTAGTGATCACAGCCATATCTCGAGTACCATTCTTTATGAAACTCGTGCTTCAATAAGAATCGCAAAAGCGATGAGTGGCTGGTTTACGTTTTTGGTGAGAAAAAGAAATAGCGAAGGCAAGGCTGTCTAGAAGTTTGCAATTAATACGCCTGCTTATACAAAAAAAGCAGTTTTGAAGTATGAATCACGTCTCGACGGAAGTTGGCGACATTCCAAAAAATAAGCGACCGAAGTGATCGAAGAGAGGAAGTAGGTCTAAGGATTTCGTGAACGCCACTTCGTCTTTAGAATGGACGAATGAGAATAAAGAGGGTCATTCTTTGAGATTTGATGAAAGGTTTCCAAGCAGTATTTGGAGCGGTCGTAAAGTTCTGTAGCACCTCACATGATACACATTCTTTGTCAAATAACATTTGACACAGCTTCTGAAGGTGTCTTTGTTTCAGAGACGCTTTTCGATTATCTATGACCCTGCCAGCAGGAGAACACCAATATCGATTCGAGATTCATCGTCATCAGGAAAGAAACGATGCCAATGCGCCTTTTATTTTTCACGATTAGTAATTACTCGATAATAGCAACCGCTATTTCACCTTCAATTTTTTCTGATAAACGTTATTCTGCTCTGAGTTATGGAATAAAGCAGATATCTTGATTTGGTGTTCC